TATATATGGACTGTCGTGGAATGTGCCTTCAAGGTTGACAATACATTGTCACCACTCCAACCTACATGGCTTATTAAGATGCCTCAAAACAAGCGAAATGTTGAAAAGGCTTTATTTTCATGATCATTTCAGAGTTTAAGAAAAGTTGCATTTATGACTTGTCGCCCACGGTTGTGAAAGATGTGGTCACAGCACTCATGACAAGGAAGAATTGGCACCTCCTGTTAGTTTTGCCCTTTTAGATTTTTGAAGTTTGAGGAAATCGATGAGTGGATTTATTCAGAACACCACTACAAACTCGTCGGCTAAACGGTGCATTGAACAGAATGCCTGTGAACTTCTATGATCGTGTGTGGACTATTCTATCCAGATCAAGAGAGGGCATTGTCATTGCATCGCAGTTCCTCCCACAGGTAATTAGTTAGCTGTTGTCTTCTTGGCGACCTGGCCTGTTGTAGGTACAATACTTAATATGTCAAATGTATGAGTGTTCGACGTTCTTCGGTTTCCTTTGGAAATGGATAATGCACTTAATAACTTTCATACAGAATCCTAGTGTCTTTTAAAGGCAGTTTGCACGACAGATTTCAAGAGGAGTACGATTAACATGCCTGGCACGACAGAATTCTGCGCCCCTGATTAGGTGCTCTGTAGCGCCTTTTTCAGAACGCCTAGTTTAGGGCGCGCAGTCTTTTCTCGTAAGGCCCTGTCAAGGTACAACGAGCCGATCCGAACGTCTACCGCGCCCGCCCGCCCACAAATGGACGACCGTACCTGATGCTCGTATTGCTTCATTTGCGAAGTAAAATATGAAGCGAAGGGATTGATATGAAGCGGCTGCAGTGCTGCATGGATATATGTACATATGTGCAGCCGTATCTATCGTAGCGGTTATTGGCACAATGCCTACAGGAAGTTCGTCCGAGATCGCTCTTTGGATTATTTATTCATTTGACGCGACAGAGCACAATCAACAAATAAACACAACGCAACTAAATAACTAAAAACCAGTATACATCTGAACACAACTTCTTCGCCAAATCCTATACAGCAATTTATATCTAAGTTCTGTTCTCTTCTTCTTCTTCTTCTTCTTCAGCGTTTGTCCCGCTCGATGGCGGGGTCCGCTCTTTTGATATAACTACGCCACTTTTCCCGATTGAATGCCTGATCGGGGTGAATGCCGGCTATTTTCAAGTCGGTATGCAGCGTGTCGAGCCAGCGCTGTTTGGGACGCCCCTTTGGCCGCTTTCCTGGTACCTCGAGTTCGAGAGCAGTTTTACGGACGGTGTCAGCCTTCGCGCGAAGTACGTGCCCGTACCATCGAAGGCGCGTTTCACGCAATTTCTCTGCTATGGGGGCTACACCATACTTCTTGCGCACGACATCGTTACAAATGCGGTCCGATCGCGTGACGCCCGCCGTCCAGCGCAGCATCTTCATCTCCATCACACCAAGGCGAGCCTCAACTTCTTTGGTCGCGGGCCAGCACTCGGCACCATATAACGCGACAGGTCGGACGACAGATCTTTGACTTGAAACGCTCTGGCATTTTCTTGTCGCAAAGGATCCCAGACATGGATCGCCATTTAGACCACTCACTCGTGCGCTCACTTCCGAGTTCAGACTGCCATCGGACGCAAGTGCTGATCCGAGATACTTGAATGTTCCGTGCGCTTGAGCATCGATCTTAATGGAGCCCGGCTCATTTGGGTCGGTTGTCAGGTACTCGGTCTTGTTGACGTTCAACCTGAGTCCAAACTTCGCCAGACGCTCGGCCCAAGCTTGCACCTGCTGTTCCAGTGCGCTCTTATCTTCACAAGCAAGCATCACATCATCAGCGTAAAGCAGGGTCCAAGGCACTTCCTTCTGAAGATCTCGTGAGATGGCATCCATGACGGCAACGAAAAGAAGTGGGGAGAGCGCAGAGCCTTGATGTACCCCGACGGTGATGGGGAACTCCATTGAGACACCCGCTGGTGAGCGAACTTGGCTCCCTGGGCATGAGTAAAGGATGCGCACCCACTCAATTAGCTCTTCGGGCACGCCGTGCCGCCTCAAAGCGTACCATATAACATCACGCGGCACACGATCGAATGCCTTCTCCAGGTCTAAGAAAGCTACATGCACGGGCTTTCGCTTCTCACGGTGTTTCTCCAGCAATAGGCGAGCGGCATGTATGGCGTCGACGGTGCTACAACCCGCCACGAAGCCACACTGATTGGTGGAAAGCTGGACGATATCACGAACGCGGGCGTCAACAATTCGCTCAAAGATTTTCATAGTGTGCGAGAGAAGGCGAATTGGACGGTAGTTCGAGCAATCTGCCCTTCTTCTTCCAAATCGGGATCGTCACGCTCTGCTGCCAGTCCTTGGGCACCTTCTTCTCTTCGACGATCTGGTTGAAGAGTTTCGTCAACCAACCCGCAAAACCAGCGTTGTGACTTCCACAAATCAGCTGCTATGTCGTCGGGGCCTGTTACTTTGCCGGCCTTCATCTTAGAGCAGCTTCTGTTTCCTGTACGGTGATCTTCTGAACGGGACCATATGTTGGTGCGGTACAGGGTATAGCGGGATGGGCGATTGAGATGCCCTCGAAGTATTCACGCCATCGTTGCAATACCCTTTTTCGGTCCATCAGAAGGTGGCCATTCTCATCACTTATGCCAAAAACTTCTCAATAGCCTTCGGTTTGGCATTGAGGACGTTGTCCGTCCAGAGCCATGCCTCTTTGTCAATCCTCCGCCGTCCAGGCTTCGTTGTGCCGAGTTCGGAGCGGGCGGCCTGGATTATAGAATTAACGGCTTCGTTCCAGGTCTCCTGAACAGTTGTGACTTCAGGTAGTCGAATACGAGAAATCACAGCTGCCTCCCGCTCTTTCAGTCGCCACCACTTTATTCTTTCAGGACCGCATCGTTCTGCCTGCCTCGGTCTGGGAGCTACAAGTCTGAGCGTGCAGATCAGTGGGCGGTGCTGCGTGGCAACCGTTTCATACGGTACTACCTTAGCGTCTGTCACGAGTCCTTGGTCGCCATGCCTGATGAGTACAAAGTCTATTTGTGTCTTGGTACTCCCGCTGTAGAACGTGATGAGATGGGAGTCACGTTACGAAACCTTGTGTTCAGAATGACGAGATTATGCGACTCTGCATACTCAAGGACTCGCTCACCATCGGCGTTCCGTGAACCGTAGCCGAATCCGCCATGACAAGCATAGCCGTCTTTTGCAGCGCCCACGTGTCCGTTTAAATCGCCGGCTACAATGATACCGTCTTTTGGTGGCACTTCAGCCGTCTTCTCGTCCAGCAGAGCCCAGAACTCGTCCTTGGACTGCTCAGAGCATCCAGTTTGTGGGGCATATGCAGAGAAGAAGTGGTACAGTCGTTGTTCAATAGCGACAACAATCTTCTGTTCTCTACATCATGAAGAACATAGGCTTTCCTTTGCAGATTTTGACATTTTCACTTCGTTTTTTCGCCATTTTCCCCACTTTAAAGCGCCCTGCTAGACCAAGTATCAAATTGTCGTGCCGTATGCCTTCAAAGCAGCCAAAATTTTTGGAAAAAAAAACTGATAAGTGGACCTCTCTCTTAACTTGGCTTGAAAGAGACAAAATTCAATAAAGGGTTCCACCTGACAACTCTTTGGCAATAATGAAAACTACGGACTTTACAATAATGCCAAAGTTTTGTGAAAGGAAAGGTTCGTTACAGTTGACCAACTGCAGCTGCAATGCTTCAGGAAGCGATCTGGCATACCAGTCATTGCTTTTTTTTCTTCCGACATTCGACATGTTTCTTTTACAAGATGAGCCTAAAGGTGCGAAGGACTTGCTTGGCCTGGTGCCTTGCTCGTACGCCGCAATGTTCTGCTTGGAAAGATGCTGCTCTGTTCCCATGTGTTCAAAGGCACAAGGCACGGTTATTTGATGCTTCTGTGAAAATAATAGCAACAGGGGATCTGTATGGTGGGGAAATGACGAAAAAGCGATGTGAAGTCAGAAACCAGCAAATAACCATTGCTCTGCACGGCTCAGAAAGCAATTTCAGACGAGTTTTCCGTTGGCATCATGCTAATCAGCGCTACGGTAAATATGGCTGCATATATACACACATATCCATGCTGCACCGCCCGCCTCATATCCGTCTGAGTCATTATGTTCCAGCTTAATGAGGCGCTAAAAGTACCTTCCTTGGCGAAGGCGCCGCACAGTGCCTGCTCAGTTGCGAAGAATTCTGTCCTGCTAGGCGTAAGTTTTACACTTCTTAGAGATTTATCCTGCCACTGGCCTTTAAGTCTTTGACTCTTGGACACTCAGTTCCATTTCTTAGAATTCTCAAAGCTTGTATCATTAGTTTGTTTCATGTTTTCATTTAATTTATTATCAGTTATCGGGTAGTAGGTGGTGACGTCCGTTCCTCCAAGTGGTGCCACCTGCTCGCTTTTGCGGGCTGAGCAGAACGCGGACGAACACGAAAGCAGGCGACAGGCCTTCGTGACGGGCCGGCTTACGAACACCCCATGTCACATCATCATGTTTAACTATGCCTTATGAATTCGAGATAATGCTACGGCGTCCGCGGGAGCCGACGCGCACTCGCAAGGCCCGACGAGTGTGAAAAATATGCGAGGGTCCTCGTTGCAAGGACGGCATCGGGGGCAACCAGGCTAGTCCAAAAGACGTGCAGTGTGTCAAAGGCTCGTATTGCGACGCTGAATGTGGGGACGCTGACTGGACGCTCGTATGAGTTAGCAGAAGCCCTAGAGCGTAGAAAGATCGACCTCTGTGCCGTGCAAGAGACGAGATGGGCTGGTTGCAAGTCGAAAGAGTTAGGCCGCGGCTTCAAAGCCGTTCTTTGTGGCGGGCCGAAAACTACAAGTGGTGTGGCCGTGATCGTGTCTCAGCGATTTCGCGATTCGATTGTGAGCGTAGTTCGTTTCGACGACCGTTTAATGAAGATTGTTGGAATGTTTCCGTGCGCTTGAGCACCGTGTCATCGATTTTAATGGAGCCCTGCTCATTTGGGTCGGTGGTCAGGTACTCGGTCTTGTTGACGTTCAACCTGAGTCCAAACCTCGCCAGACGCTCGGCCCAAGCTTGCACCTGCTGTTCCAGTGCGCTCTTATCTTCACAAGCAAGCATCACATCATCAGCGTAAAGCAGGGTCCAAGGCACTTCCTTCTGAAGATCTTGTGATATGGCATCCATGACGGCAACGAAAAGAAGTGGGAGAGCGCAGAGCCTTGATGTACCCCGACTGATGGGGACCTCGCATTGAAACAACCCGCTGGTGAGCGAAAACTTGGCTCCGCTGGCATCCGAGTAACAGGATGCCGACACCCACATCGATAGCCTCTTCGGGCACGCCATGCCGCCTCAAGCGTACCATATAACGTCACGTGGCACACGATTGAAGGCCTTCTCC